CATCCCTTTTGCTGCCAATTTTGCACAACTGAAACTGCACCGCTTCTGTTTTAGTTACTTCGATTATTTTTTTTGATATTTCCTTTGACGAAGCTCTTGATGGTAAGCCTATTTTGGCACCTTGCTCTATGTAAGTGTGAGCTATTTGGACTGTTGGAAAAATTTAATTGTTCGACCAGTAAATCAGAGCAAACAGACCTGCTGAGAGCCCTTAATGTCACGTTACGCACCTGTCGTGAAGGTGAGGTTGATCCTCAATGAGGTTTGACTCCAGTGAGGTTTATGCTCCACCCCCTCATGCTCATAGCCCCACCTCTACGCCGCATCTGCCGTATCAAAGTGAGGAGCCAACCAATGAAAAGGTAGCGACGAAGTGCCATCCACGCCCATGATAAGCTAACAAAGTGATTCTGAGGGTTTCAAGCTGTTCACTTTGTGGTACTTCATTATTCAGCAGCTACCGCATTTTTGTAATGACCCACACCTACTCGTTTAGTAGCACTTTGACAGAAACCTTTATATAGCAGTAACCCTGGGTAAACAATTTCTCCCGTCCGAAGTACTGTGCATATCTAAAAACAAGGTAAACAAAAACAAAGGTACGTTGCTTTCAGTTGATTCCAACGGACGGATCTTGCCGGTTACCAGCTCCACCACCACTCAGTGAGCAGTACAAAAAGAAAGCCGCTATGGGTGTAGAAAACGGTTTAAGGCATCGGAAAGGTAATAGTCAGAGATCTGTTAGTCAGATCTATATTTATCGATTTTCTATCAACTAATCAATAAATTTTTTCAGGCACAGACGTAGAAATGTCAGCGAAAAAGTCGCGAAATGACAAAGACGATTACGAGCTATCGAAGAAACTGTAATGAATAATAGAATGTGGCCGCGGCTAGAATCTCTCGTTCTTTCTCGACTAGAGCGGTATCGATTTCCATTTCCGTGGATCGATCACTCTTATCGATCCTTGGCGTATTGTGTATTTCTTTTTGCCAGTGTATTTGCCTCAACGGGTATAAATCCTTTTTTTACTTTTTTTTCTCCAAAAAATTTCTTCTATTGAGATATGTGCGTAGTATCGCGATGGACTCGTAGATATAGTGTTGTGTGTTTGGCTGTGCAAAGGCAGAACGTGTGTCGAGCATGTGGGCGGCGCTATCCCGTACCGCCCACGTCCCCTATTGGTGCTTGCGAACGCTCACCAATCAAGAGTGTCGACAGTTCCAGTTGGACAGCCCACATGCTCAACCCATGACTTCTGTCTTTAAATCAGTAGACTGGTAGTAAACGCAAATTGACGGTGAAAAGCATTTTCGAAATGAAATGAAATATAGGTGAAAACACACAAAGAATGATTCTGTGTATGTGTAGGGACCACCTCATTTTTGTTCCTATTCTTCATAAATTCACCATTTTTTTATAAAGGCATTTCCTATCTCCTTGCGGTGCCTTCTCATCACGTCCTCCTCTTTTTGATAGACGTTGTATACGCTTCACTTATTATTTATTGTATATGTGCCTTTTAGTATTGATCTGATGCTACAAACTTGGCTTTCGACACTGAACAAAAGATTCTTTTTCCGAATAAAATGATTGAAAATGAAACAAAAACTGTTTCAGACAAAAGTCATACAAGCAGAGATCTGGCTCAAAACAGTTTTGAGAAGAATCCTTGCCAATTTGAGGAAATTTACCTGAACGGCCATTCGAGGCACTGCTCCCTATTAAGCTAGAGTGTTATTCTGCTCGAAAGTGAAGCAACAGGTGTGAAGAAGGCCGCCGGTGGAAAAAACCAAAGGATTCAAAGGAAACATTAAAACAACAGATCCCCTTTCTTGTGAGTCCGGCCGGTCAGACCGAGCAGTGAAGCGAGGAGAGGAGTACCGGGGCTAAAGCACAAAGGATAAAGCATTTGCCGTTGATCAATCCCTTTTGGGATGCGGCACGCATTCTACTTCCATTTGTACATTCGTAGTGGCGTTTGAATGCGATGTGGCCTATACAATGACTTGCGGGGGCCAGCCGATGTTCAAGTCAGTGTTTTTTATCCTCCCAGACAAGTCTGGTACCAATTAACCGACCCCGGAGGGATGGAAGGCTTGGTTGGCCCGGGCGACTCACGACCCAGGATTTGATCCCCGGACCGCTCGCGTGGTAAGCGCGCCACTTGTCACTACACCACTTCCGCCCACATACGGGGAAATGGTACCAGACGCCGCCTGTTCGCTGCTGGCGGCGTGGCCACGCCGCCGCGATTCGTCGTTACGAATACCGTAGAGAGCGTAGCTCAAAATGTGGCAGTGTACGAGTTAAACTGCAACCGTCACAGCTTCACGGCAAGCCTAGCACCGCTGCCTTGCCTCTTCGGACTGTGGATTTTACCCGCTCTTTGCCTGTCGCACAAAGAAATCGTAAAAGTACTGAGAGTTTTCCCGCCCGGAATTTGCTGGCTGGAATCCACGATAAAACCGAAGTCGACAGAATTGAAATTTCTAATGTTGAGGATAGGTGAAAAACCTATTTAGGTGCGGGCTGGTGACGTGTCGAAGAACAGAACCACCTAGTGAAAGCCAAGCGGATCCCTTGGTACTAGACGACACGCAACTGCAGCACCAATTTTACCCCCGGTCTAGCACTGGCTCACTCTGTATCTAAGTTGCCGGGTACGCCCACAGCCTACGATCATTCGTCTGCGGTCATAATCCTGGCGAGTGAATTTAGAATAAACGGAGAGCGCGTGTTGAAGGAGTGTACGCCTACGATGAAATCGCATCCATGGCGCAAATCAAAGGACAAGAACAGGGGTCCCATTTCTCTGGTTCTAGACGGTTTCTTTCGTACCTTGGGTTTTTCTTCATCCGTGTACCTCCAACCATCCTTTACATATTTTGGAATGAGTTGCTTTTTCATCGCGAATCCGGCCTGCTCTGTCATGAACCTTGTGAAATAATTTAAAGAGGAAAGAGGGCTTGCTCAAAAAGCCATTGACCTGACTGTGGGATGGCTTTCAGTGGCGCACGAGGTTTTCAACGCTTCTGTGCCCTTAAATGAATCTTGCAGCTCTTCCGTCGCTGGGCGATGAATGAATATTGGCAATTTCATAGTATTAATAGCGAGCCACTGTTTTTCAAAAGAAACATTTGCTACCGTATTCAAATTCTTGAAATCCATTTCCTAGTGAATGCAATGAGCCTTCGTGCATCATGTGAATTGTATTTTCTGGCGAATTTTTTTTCTTTCCCTTCGCAGACACTCGTATTGCTGACTCGTTCTCTCAGAGAGGCTCTGAGGCAGCCTCTCTCATTACCTTCATTATTATGAGGCACGTGAATAAGAAAGCCTTATCCATCCCAAAAAAAAACACGGCTGTCAAGAGAATTTGAATATTAATGCTGACCTATAAACCTGTTATAGAAGGCTCTGAGGACGTATAAAAATCACATTTTAAATTGAACATTCTGTTGCTACACTCAGACTCGAATGATGAGAAGAACACAAAAGAGTTCTATGAGGGAGGGTTTTTTGTTGGCTTCAAAAATAATCAAATAGCGTTCGACCTGAGCCATTATGCCGACCTAAAGAGCCCACCCATTGCATTAAATAAGACTCTATTATTACTCTATCAACATATTCATTCTAATTCCAACCATAGTCTAAGATTTAATCCCGCTAACGTACTGAATGTTGAGAATTTATCTCCGATCAATGCCTCTAAAAACTCCTAATTGATAGGGTAGAGCGCAATGCTGTTGTATTCAATTGTCTGAACACATAGGGAATGGGGGCCTGCCTCTAGTCTGACCAACCCTCAAGTCAGGAGTTCCTTCCAGCAAGGAAGTATTCCGGCTGACCCTCAGCTCACTTTTAAGGCCATATGAGCCGCGCTTAAAATACCACTACGAATCTCAGTGGAAATAGAATGCGTGCGCATTCCAAATCGGAATTCAACAATACTGAGAACTTTTTTCTTTATGGTGAGCATGGATTTGCTATAATGTGTTATAGTAAACAACAACACTTGAAATCATGTGACTGAATGGTATTTGATCCTATTGTGCAACAATAGCGCTGCTCTCTGAATAGAAGCCCTCACACATACGCAACTCCTAAGCAGTTCCCAGCTTCACGTTCCAATTTCAAAAAACATCACCTCCGAGGAAGACGGAGAAATAGAAGCATATGGAGAAATACGCGAAAGTGTTGTTTTCATTGTGCATGCAAATAGAGGTTACAATTAATGTGAGATCCTTTCATTCACAGCTTGTTGTGGTCGAAGAAAAGCAATCAGCTGCGCGCTCGAGCCAATTTCCTCCGACTACTGTGCGATAGCCACCTTACTCCCTAGGTGTCAAACTCAAAAAATCATGACTAGCTGGCGAATCTTCTCTATTTTGTCCTATTGAATAGAAACTTCAGGTTTTTGGTGGAAGCTACAACTATTTATAACGGTCTTCCACTTTCCCCTGTCCCTCCACACGTCCGATATATAAAAGTAATTTTTATTGCATTTCTTTCATCGTTTTATGTTAACCAGTTCAGCATTGATATCTAGGAGACCTTTTCGTGCATGTATCCTAAGCCACGCTCGCGACAAATTTAATGAAGCTGTTGCCTTGTTTATGAATTCCAGAAGGGTTCGAAGAGCTTTATTTCTTTGTGTTGGTTGTCTGAACTGGCAAGTCAGCATAAATAATATTTGCAAAATAGAATCACATAGAACATGCTATTTGACTGATTGTACCTTATTGTTTAACTCCGCAAGTGGAATAGGATAAAAGCATTTGCCGTTGATCAATCCCGTTTTGGGATGCGGCACGCATTCTACTTCCATTTGTACATTCGTAGTGGCGTTTGAATGCGATGTGGCCTATACAATGACTTGCGGGGGCCAGCCGATGTACAAGTCAGTGTTTTTATCCTCCCAGACAAGTCTGGTACCAATTAACCGACCCCGGAGGGATGGAAGGCTTGGTTGGCCCGGGCGACTCACGACCCAGGATTTGATCCCGGACCGCTCGCGTGGTAAGCGCGCCACTTGTCACTACACCACTTCCGCCCTTCAATTCATGAAGCAGCCTCAAAAATTCAATCTAAATTAATTGCTGCAACTGTACTCCCGTTTTATTGATCTGACGTTGGGCAGAAATCGCATATATTGTAAGTAATCAAAGCAAATATTGGTTAACTTCTTAAAGGCAACCGTAGTTAAGAGATGTACTCTAGGTTGGTTGGCATGTCACCGGGAAGCTTCACGCAACGAAAGACGGACAATTTTTTGACCTCAATACCTACCCGCGATCCGCCAGAATGGCCTGCGCACTGAAGTAACCTCCCTTCAAAAGCGAGAAAGTGTCGGGTGCAGACCAAACACCACAACTGACGACGGCCTCCAAGTAAATCTGGTTAGAAGTTGTTCATAGTGATAGCTGATTTCTGGTAAATGATAGTTGTAATTAGTGACAATCGATAGAATACAACTGCAACAGGCTAATCATTTCATTGGCAGAAAACATTAACATTTTGTGAAGGCCGTCGTCACTTGTGGTGCATGGTCTGCACCCGACACTTTCTCGCTTTCTAAAGGGGAGGATATATTTGTATTTCAAACAATAAGATCGCATTCTGGGGGGCAGGACCACGGACACCCATAATATTAAGTACGCACGTAGGAGAAACAAAAAGAAAGCCACATTGATCTTGGTTGTCGTCACTTGTGGTGTGTGATTTGCACTCGACGTTCTTCTCGTTTTTGGGTACCTGGCAGATACGTCACCGCGTGGCGAGAAGACAGAGACGCAGCAGACGCGTCTGCGGTCGACTGCAACGCGTGCTATACGATGTGGGACGTATTACTGTGCACATTCTAATA